TAGCTCTGTATTTGGCACCTGGGACATAGGGTAATGAGATGTGAGTTCCAAAGAACTTGGTCAGCCCCCACCGAGCCCTCGCATATATTGCCTCTTGTGCTAGCTTCATTTGTGATCTGTAACTTTCTCTTGCAGACATTCCACATTCCTAGCATTGCTGACTTATTGGGCGCTTCATTTGCACAGTTTCACAGACTGCCCTCTCAGGAGCTCCTTACCTGGCCTTCAACAGGCCTTCCTTTGAAATCTGAGGGGAAGCCTCCCTGACTGCACAACTCTTATATTTTGCATGCTCACAAAATCAGCATTACATGGACAATGCCATGGTCTGCTGTCAGTGGGAATGTTAGCTGGGCCCCCTTGGATCTCGGCTGCAGTGGTCTGAGTGCCTGGATGGCTGAGCATTGTGAAATGCATCCTGGAGAAACAATTTATTAGAAAGCCCTTCTGCTGCAGGTATCCCAGGGGTGCTCTTCCCAGATGAAATGTTGACACTTTTGTATTTGATACTTTTACACCCTTGAGCCTTTAAAGGGTGCATCTTGCTGATTCCTGCAAAGGGTGCATCTTTTTGGTCCTTGTACAAAATACTTGGTTTCTTTTTAATGGTGCTAATCACTAAAGCAGATCACAATTCCTTCTGCTCCAACTCTGCACTGGTCTTTGTGGGCCCAAAACTAAGTTTTTCACATTTTTCTGCTCTGCATTTTACTCCCAATTCTCACTACAATCTTGCTAAAAGTAGCGAGTAATACCATCCTGTAGCCTGAATTATCTTGAAATTTCCATTGCCAGATCAATTTTTCCACCACTCTTAATCTCAGTTTCCCACAGTCTCAAGATATATGCAAACTATAGCACTCTAAGGGTTCTCTAGCTTGTATCTCTAAATCTTCCAAAACTCCTCCTGCAAACCAGTTCCAAAGGCCTCTAAACCACGTGTTCAAGAATAGTCACAGCAATGACACCACTCCTGGTACCAATTTTATGTATTAGCATTTTTATTGCTGAGACACAACACCCAACAGCTTAAAAGAGAGGTTTAATTTGCTCATGGCTTCAGTCCATGATTGGCTGGCTCCAAGGCAGAGACATCAGGGCAGGAGGGCTTGGCAAAGCAAAGCTGCTCAGTTCATGGTCGCTAGGGAGCAGAGCAGGGGAACAGTACCTGAGAGGCTGTGACCTTATACAGTACTCAAAAGCATGCCCCGAGGGCCCATCCAGCCACATCCAGGTGATGGGTTCCACGCCTGCCCTCTTCCCCGATGGACGGCGGATGGCCACGGCCGGAGTAGAGATGATTCCGAGGTAGGTCGGTCACACAATCCTGTCGTTGGTCAGTCTCGTTGTGACCAACAGATACATACGAAGAGCAAGTACAGCAAGGAGGCCCACGACCCGAGCGGGACCGCAGGAACCACGAACTTGACCAGCAATCACATCAGCATCAGGGATTGCCCTAGTACGCCGCTGCTGTACAGCGGAACGGCGCAAGGCCGCAGGGAGCTTTTGCTGCGAAGTGAGTAGCGTGAGATCAGATCGAAGGGGTGCTGGGACCGTACAGCGACTGAAAAAAAAAAAAGAAACAACTCACTAACACCTATCCCAACAAGCGACTCAGCGAGCCTCTTTTGGAAAGAGCCCTGAACGCCTGTCTCGCTGCGCCTGCGCACTGATGTCTTCGCGAAGAGAACCAATGGGACGGAAGAGTGGGAGTGCGCATGACGTCACTGCTCAAAGAACCAATGGGAATGAGGAATGGGCGGGCTGTAGGTGGAGAGGCGGTTTCCGGTTCCGCTGGGTCTTTGTCCGCGGTCGTGCTACGTGTCTCTGTCATCCGCAGCGGTGGCGGGCGGGTAAGGGGTGGCTTGCTGGGGCCCCGAGTCGAGCCGCCGGACACGGGGTGTACAGGGCGCGTGGCGCGGCCAGGTCCTTGTGACTCCTCGGCCGGCGGCCGGGGCTCGCCCGCGGGTCTGTCGGAGGTGCCTCTGCGACTCGGCGACTGCCGCGGCCTCGCAGGGAACGCGACCCCGGCCCGGGGGAGCCGTCGAGTCCGGGTTGTGCCGCGCGCTGCTCGCCCGCCGCCGCCCTGCGCGGGGACCGTCGTCCCTGACTCCGGGCGTCCGCGCCGTCTGCTGCAGGGAGGGACGGCGCCCTGGCGCGCGTGCGCGTAGAATCCCGTCTGGTGAACCTGCTTCCGGGCCCCCAGCCGCCGGCCCCCGGTGTAAAGTGGGAGGCAGGGTCCGGTTTCCAATCAGGTCCTGGAGCTTCTTGGGCCCGCTCCCCGGACGTTGAATGCAGTGTTCGGCGTGGTGCGCGTGTTTCGGGACGGAGAGGTCCTACCGTGTATCACAGCCACGGCCGCAGACAGTTTAAGCCCCTTGCTTTCAGCAGCGGTGTCTGGTGTGGGGTAAACAGGCCTTCCTGTGTGTTTGTCCCGGCACATTTAGCGAACTCCTAGGAAGCCTTAGATGTTTCTACAAACTGTTCCATTGAATTGCCTCCTTCGGGGCTGGGGATTTAGCTCAGCGGCACAGCGCCTGCCTGGCAAGCTCAAGGTCGTGAGTTCCATTCCTGGTACCGGAAGAAAAAAACAAAACAAAACAAAAAATGAATTGCCTCCTGCCCATGCAGGTGAGCAAACAGGGGCTTAGGTTTACGTTTTCTGGACAGATTTAAACCAACGTCTGACTGCTGTTCTAAGCATCGGACATAGAGTACAAATACCCAGGTCTCCTTAGCTGTTTACCAGTAGCTCGCAAAGCTATCTAAGACGGGATGCTAACTCTGTTAGGTAAGAGATTCTCAGAGGAACCTACGTGATGAAATGTATTATCTTCCTTAAAAGATTCAAACCTAAGGGTGTGGAATTTAGGTAGTAGCTTCTGAGACTTTGAATTTTGCTTTAGCCAGTGTTAGTGATTTGAAAATTCTGTCTGGTTCTGCCCGCCCCACATAGTGCACTGTCCTCTAAATATATTCTGTAGGCCTATAACAGTCAGGTTGAAATCCATGTTTGTTCTCATTTTAGGCTCTTGCTGTACACCTGTTTGATCAAAGAATACAGTGAATGCCGCTGCTGCGTGCCATTCCACCGAAAGACAGGGGGCTGTTCAATATGAAAAGCATCACACTGAACCTTAGTAACAGTGAGTGACAAGTTCCAGTTGGTTCGGTGCCGTCAGTGGGCTGTGAGCTACAGCTGAGAGGCGTGTTTCAAAGTGTGTTGTAAATCATGGATTACAAACAACGCATTAACATGAAATTTTGTTTCAAGCTGCAAAAAAGTGCTAAAGAAACCCACGAAATGTTAAAATTAGTTTATGGTGATGCTGCAGTGACCAGGAAGACTGTTTACAAGTGGTTCGAGAGATTTCGTAGTGGCTGTGAATCCGTTGAAGACGAGCGATCCGGGCGTCCCTCAACGTCAAAAACCCAAGAGAATGTTGAAAGAGTAAGCGAAATAATTCGATCGAACAGGCAGTTGACTATTAGGGAGATTTCTGAGGATCTGAACATCTCTTACGGTTCTGTGCAAAGCATTTTAACCACAGATTTGAACATGAGGCAGGTGACTGCGAAATTCGTTCCACCTGTTTTGACTGAGGAACAAAAGCAACAACGCTTATCAATTTCGTTGGAGTTGCTAGAGCGTTCTGCTTCGGATTCTGGCTTTTTAAGGTACATCATCACAGGAGATGAGACTTGGGTGTATGGTTATGATCCTGAGACCAAGGTTCAGAGTTCTCAGTGGAAATCACCCAGTGCTCCTCGAGCCAAGAAAGCACGGCAGTCAGGATCCAACATTAAGGTGATGTTGATTGTGTTTTTTGACCTTGATGGCATTGTGCTAGCTGAGTTTGTACCTCGGAACACTACGGTGAACTCTGAATATTACAAGGGCTTGTTAGAGCGCTTAATCAACGATGTGTGTGTAAAACGGCCTGAGAAGTGGGCAAATGGTTTCATCCTCCATCATAGCAGTGCTCCGTATCACACATCGCTTCTGGTGCAGCAGTTTCTGTCCGATGAAAATATCACAGTGTGTCCTCATCCACCTTATTCCTCAGACCTGGCGCCGTGCGACTTCTGGCTCTTCCCCAAAGTCAAAATGGCCATGAAAGGGAAACGTTTTGAGTCAGTTCAGGACATCAAGGAAGCTGTGACAGCGCAGCTAGACACGCTCACGAAGGAGGACTTCCAGAGCTGCTTCACAGAGTGGCAGGAACGATGGGATAAGTGTGTGCAGAGCGAGGGGGAGTACTTTGAGCGGGATTAACGGCAGTGTGTCTTTTTCTGTAATAAATTTGTTTTAATTTAAACATCGTATTTTACAAACGAGCTTCATAACATTTTCCTAATTAATAACCATCTCATTATTTTCATCATTTTTTGTTCATTTATTTTAGCTACTGATTTTTAAACATCATTTCTTAAATTATGTATACCTCTGTTTAAATTTTGGTTTTATGTACTTTCAAATGGTGTAAGATTATCAAAGCTGTGTTGTCCTTGTTATATTTAAGTTAATCATATTTTATGACCTTAGGGCTTTTAGTATTTTTCATATTACCACTCTTGAAAAATCGTGGGAGTCCTCTCTGCTCTAGTCCCACTCCTCTGAATAAAACTTTAAGATGAAACCAACAATATATTTGTTGCCACCCTAGAAAGTTTGTTACTCGTTATGATTTGTGTATTAAAAAGTGAAAAAAAAGGTAAACCAGAATTTATCTACTTTCATCCTTTGATTAACTGTTAAAAGTTGGGCATATAACGCAGAATATAATATGTAACAAATATAATAGAGAATAGTTCTCTTATGAAGCTTAGAATCAGGGAAAACTCATAAAAAATTGTAATTTTTTAAAAAATCACCACCTTGATAACTATTGGAATAATTAGAAGGTGTGATAGTACATTACAGGAGGGTATCAAGTCAAAAGACCTAGTATAGCATCCATGAGGAAATTGAAACATCAGATCTTTAAGGGTGTTAGAGCAGAGAAAAGGCTGAGAGACTGAGATCACTTTATTTTCTGGAAGTGTTTGCTTTCAAGTTAATGGCAAGTCAGTGGGACGCCTTTTGACATTGCACAGTTAGAGTGATCAGGTTTAGGCATTTAAGTTTAGTGGAAGGCCTTAGTATTCGGTTTTGATACTTTGATTTTGTATTTGTTACTCTCAGCCTTCCCTGCCATTTGGAGGTCATGAAACCTATCTTAAGGAGTGGTGAAATTTGAAGCAGTTACTTTCAGAAATTTTCTAAGAAATAAATTTCTTAAACTTACGCATTTTATCAGTGACTGGGGAGGTTGTCTGAAGTGACAGGTGGCTGAGTGCATATTATCACCAGAGGCAGGCTGCCCTCGTTACTAAGCAGAGTTACATTTTGGATCAAGAAGAGTTAGATCTGGAAAAAACAAAGTACCTCACATGTCTTCTGTAGGTTCCTAAGTCCCTTTTACAGTACTGATGAAAAATGTCAACTCTGGAATTGTGGAAGCATGGGGAGAATAACAAAGTAGCAGTGGGAAACCTCAGACTGTCTGGCTTCAGTTTTCTAATCAGTAAGAAAAAAGAGACTAGTGTCTGCCTCTAGACACAGCTTTCTTACACTCAGAGTTTCTGCTGTGTTGCTTCCCGTTCATTCTGTGGTCAAGACAGCTTTCACTGATAGAGGTATTGCTTTCATTTGATTGGGGCTTGTTTAGACACGTAGGTATGTAAGCCTCCCACTCCCTTCACATCCCTCTATACTTTCGTCTCTTGCTAGACTTCCTACCTGCCTTGGGTCATTCTTATGTATGTCCATCTGCACATTAAGTCTTTGAGTTCTGAAGCAAACTAGTTGTCTGTATCAATTAAATATACAAACATTTGTACTTCCTGTAGAAGAAACTAGTCCAATGCTTTATTGCATTCATTAAAAGTACTGAATAAATACTAGTTGATTTAAGTCACCAGTGTCAGGTTATCTTTGTGTAATGCTGATGATGTTAATAACAGCCAGCCTTTAACCAAAGACATGCCCTGTGTTAGACACTATTCTTACTTACTGTGACAACTCTACCCTCAGGTAGAAGGTGAGGCACAGAGGCTAAGTAATTTCACTGGTACGACTGCTGATTGGTGGAGCAGCCTGGGAAACATTTCTGCTGCTAGTTACTGTTGAAGGAGTTAAATACCCACTTCTGGTTTTTTTTTTTTTTCGCCTTAAACTGAAGGCCAAAGCAAACATTTTGTGAGGCAAAAAACTAATTATTTTTCATATTATTGCTAGGAGAGCTGTAAAACTGAAAGAAATCTTTTTCCTAATTGAAAGCAAAATCACTTTAAACGGTGATAGCAAAGCTTTTCTTTCATTAGATTGAATTATCACATTTTTGTATTTTGATGGTCTTGTCCTCTCTGTTTTACAATCTAGCAGTTGAAGTTAAAATCCGCACAGCATTACAAAGGAGGTAACATTTGTTGGTGTTTTAGTTACAGCAAGCCTGTTTAGCACAGAGGACTTGATATAAAATATTATTCAGGGATATCGCATAATTTTCATCTAGTAGTAGAATTTATATTTATTTAGCATCACGGTACTGAAAGTGTCTAATTATAATTTCAATGTTTATATATTTTTTGTTTGGTTGGTTTTTGCTGTGCCAGGAATGAACCCAGGGCTTTGTGCATGCTAAGCAAGTGCTCTACCACTAAGCCACATCCTCGGCCCTTTTCTTTTTACTTTTTTTTTTAAAAAATACTACTAGGAATTATTTTGAGGCAGGATCTTGGCTAAGTTGCCTGGAGTTTAACAATCCTGCCTCATCCCCTGGAGTAGCTAGGATTGCGGGTGTGCTGCAGCATAAAAGGCAGCTTTTGTTTTCACTGTGGTGGAGCGGTGTTGAATGACTGGTTCAATACACTTTGAAAAGCATTGTGCCCATCTGTAGACTCAGCTGGTTGCTTGATCACTATTGTGAAAAACAAACTCCTCAACCAACCATCCGACAATTCTGTCATGTAATTAGTATTTTTTGTCATGTTCAGAAATTAAGCCAGATAGTTCCAAAATGACATTTTCCAAATCAGCAGAGTGGGTTTCAAAATAAACGCGTTCCAGCGGTGTTCCAGCACACACTGTAATCCCAGCGCTCGGGAGGCTGATACAGGAGGATTGCTGTGAGTTCGGGGCCAGCCTGGTTACAAAGTGAGTTCAGGGCAGCCTGAACTGCATAGTGAGACCCTGCCTCAAAAGACAAACGAACAAAAAAGAAACAACAAAAAACAAAAGAACTCATTCCAGAAGCCTTATCATCACTAACAACCTTTGTGGCTCTAGGACTTTAATGTCTGTTGTACTTTTTAAAAAAATGCTACCGTGGGGTACGGTTAGATGTGATTCTCAAATAAATCGTTTTGATTCCATGAAATTACAGTGTACTACATTTCAGCCAGTTATTACTGACGCAGTCATGTGCTCAAGAATGACCACCTTTCTTTCTTTTACAGGGGCGGCTGAATGCTTTTTGGAAGAGTTTTTCCCCTTGGCACCTGGGGGATTAGAAATCCAGTGAGGTCTTGGTGAAATACTGCAGTGCACTTTTCGGTGCTCTTCTGTTTGTGCGATAACTAGACGCCAAAGTGGGGTAATTCATAGGGGGCAGAAATTCATTTCCTGTTCTAGAGGCTGCAGAGTCCAAGGTCAGAGTGCAGGCAGGCTGGTGCCCCTCGGTGTCTTCACGTGGAGAATAAGGGGGGACCAAGTGTCAGAGGCTCCTGGAAACACTTGATGCTGAGGTCCTAACACCATCAGCAGGAAGCGCCCCCCTGGCTTAACCACCTGCTGCAGGCCCCCTCAGCTTGGAGATGAAGTGTCCACGTAGTCTTGGGAAGGACAGGAACATCCAAACCACCGTGCCTTCCATCAGGTCAATGTTTTCCTGTGAGGGAAGCAGCAAGGGAAGGAAGGTAGGGATGGGAAGCGCCTGTTAGCAGTGGAGGGACCGGTGGTAGCTTGGTCCATAACCATACTTTTAACAAGTAGGAAAACACAATGGTTAATTCCTTTTTTGAAAATATTCTCTGACTTCACTTTGTTCATTCAGTGTTTCCAAATTCTAATCCAGTTGAATTCTCTGATCAGCAAGTAAGATGGTAGATACACAAGTACCTTCGTCTGTTTTGTACTGCTGGTCACAGAATGCCACAGCTTGAGTAATTTACGTAGGAAAATGTGTTTCTTAAGAGTTCTCAAGGGTGTGAAGTCTAGTATCTGGGTGCCAGGGTCTGGCAAGGGTATTCTTGGCGTATCACCCCTTGGTGCTGGCCAGAGCCCGAGAGTGAACCCGCAGCCTCTGCACCCGAGCTTCCATTTGCTCCCGAGGGGGACCCCCCATGAGCCCTCCCAGCAGCCCACACCGGCACACTGGGCTCAGATGTCCAGTGCTTGCTCGCCGGGGGCACATTCAAGCCACAGGAAGTGACTAGTATTGAGTCTGAGCGGTATTCCTGTCTTGGACCACAGTTCAAAGACTAGAAGTGTAGTTTCCTAGTAATAACATATTCTCTCTGATTTTGAAATGTTGGTAGTGCTTTAGTCTTGAAGTGTCCTTAGGAAAATAAAAATGCACTGAGTCCTTGGCTGTCTCTAATCTTAAGGAGACCATACCACCTCTTAAAGATACTCAGCTCCTTAAAGGGCTTAAAAATGTATTTGCATATGTGTGTAGGTGTGTGTACATGTACATCCATATATGCAGACATGCATGTGTACATCTACATGTATGTGCATGTATATATGTGTCTATTACGCACATGATAATATTCTAAAGTACATATTTTGAAGGATAAAATGAGCGTTATTTTTACAGAAAAGAATTACAAGGTTCCTTTTTTAAAATAATTTCCTATTAATAGCATACATTTGGGCTACTCAGATTTTGATAAACCTAGTTCTTGACATGGGTAAAGTTGTGCATAAATTATTTATAGCTGTAAATAAAATGAAAGTTGACCAAGAACTCTGGTGATAGAGCAGAGTAACCTCCATAAGCAACAGTTAAATTTCTTAGAATCTTTTTTGTTTCGTTAATGATGCTGCTAGGAGCTATCAGGGCTGCGCATGTGTTGAAAGCGGCACACCTTCAGTGTGCATAGGCATCGCCTGAGGGGATGTTTAATAGCTGGTTTCTTTTCTAAGTACTTGTAGAAAACATAGTAAGGCCCCTTTTTGTGACAGTTCTGCCAGTTCTCTGACCCCTATACTTCGTGGCCAAAACCTTGTCCACCTCGTCCACAGAGTAAAATCAAACAAGAAAACAGCACAAAAAGGCGGATGCGGGGAGACAGTAAAAATACAGGCAACATTTCTGAGCCTTTGCCACTGCTGCCAGCCTTGCCTTCCGTCTGTCCTGGGGCATTTGTCTTCTATCCGTTATGAGATTTTTTTTTTTGGTCTTTTTGAGACAGGGTCTCACTATGCAGTTCAGGCTGGCCTTGAGCTCACTTAGTAACCCAGGCTGATCTCAAACTCGCAATGATCCTTCTGCCTGAGCCTCCTGAGTGCTGGGATTACAGGCATGTGCCACCATGCCCAGCTTTTTTTTTTTTTCTTCTGTTACGAGATTCTGCTGGTAGTGAAAAGCACTTCTGGTAACCTGACTATAACACTGGCACTTTCTATCAGCCTTGCTTAAAAGGTGCAGGATTCGGCCTTGAAGTCACACACAGCCTCCACAGTAGATTGGAGATTGATGTCTCCACAGTAGATTTCTCCAGTCCTGCAATACGGTCAACCCTGTTTTCTGGGGCTTATTCTGCCTGTAACCTATCAGTGACCCCTCCTAGAGTACTGAATGTGCATTTTTCCCTTTTTATTTATTTTGTGGTGCTAGGGATCAAACCCAGTGCCTTTGCCATGCTAGACAAATGCTGTACCACAGCTGCATGCCTAGCCTTTCCTTCATAATTTTTGAGCTGCTGATAGAGCTTGCTTCATTTTTTTAAAAAAAAATCAACCTAATTTTTAGGGTTTTTTTTTTTAAAGACACCTAGAAAAGATGACACTTCCAGAATGTCTTCATTCCATGACTTAGAGTTCATAAGAAAGAAGATAATTCACTAACTACAACTTAAATATATTTTTGAGCCAGATGAGGTGGTGCACACCTGTCATCTCAGCACTTGAGAGGCAGAGGCAAGAGGATTTTTGTGAGTTTGAGGCCAGCCAGGGGTACACTGTGAGTTCAAGACCATTCTGGGCTAAGATTGCTCTTCAAAGCCCTCAGAAAACCCTTGTTGAATTTCTAAATGCTTAGCATTTGTCTTAATTTTCTCATTGCTGAGAGAAAATACCCAACACTCAAGGTGAAAGGAGGAAAGGTTTGCTTTGGCTCACAGGGTTTCAGCTCCAAGGCAGGGTGGCATGGCAGAGGGGCATCATACAGGAGAAATAGTCTACGTCGGGCAGAGGGCAGCAAAGCGGAAAGCACCAAGCAGTGACGCGGCAAGCGACAAGTGACCACAGAAGCCCTCTCTGTGCCTTATATTCTGTCCGGGCGGCCATCATCCTATCCTCACAAGTCGCTGAGCCGCCAGGCCCCTCCGCATCCAGCCGATAGGTCTGCCACCCCCCAGGCCACCTCTCCTGACCCTGAGGATCTGTACTGAAGAGACTGTTGATGTCAAACTGTGGACTCCCCTGCCAGGTGGCTCCTGCACTCCCTGGGACCAGACTTAGCAGGAAGGCTGGCTTTTTGCCCATGTGCCCAGTTGGTATAGGTGTTTGTTCATTATTTTGTACCATAATAAAAGCAGGTAGCTTTCTTATTCTAAGAAGACATCCATATGGTTTTTGCTCTTGAGTTCGGTCCATTGTTATGACCACCACATTGTCATTGAGTCCTCAGATGACCTTGGAACTTCACCACTGAGATTCCTGAAGTCCACTGGAAAGATGCTGAAGTC